AGCGAAAAATTAGTATTCATAAGAGCAACTAAAATTTTTGGCTCTGGTATACACATTGGTGTGCTATAACCATATATTGCTTGGAAATTTTATGCAAGTAATGTAGATTTTTCTCATCTCTGCTATCCCTTTATGGATCTTGATGCAGAATGATACTGTGGCAGTTTGGTAATGCAGATACCTTTGGGAAGAGCAACAGTACTTTGTAATTAGGGATCAATTTTATGTGTAGAAGTCCAAGAAAGAATGTAGAGCACTGAATTCATAGAATCATAGAATGGCCTGGTTTGGAAAGGACCTTAAAGATCATATAGTTCCAACCCCACTGCCAAGGGCAGGGACACCTGTCCCTAGACCAGATTGCTCAGAGCTCCATCCAGCCTGGCTTTGAACACTTCCAGGGATGGACCATCCACAGCTTATCTGGGCAACTGTTGTCTAGATGCTACTGATTTAGAAATAATTTCTCAAAAGGAGAGGTGTAGCTGATTCACTGTTAGCTGTTGGAAGCCTTGTTTAGCTTGCAAGTTTGCAAGGTAAAAATGTGGGATTTTTTGTCATAGTGTATTTCTGAACTGAAAATCTAATTTATTCAAGTGCTACATGAGGAAGTGGCAAATGTAGCTATTTAGGCTGACAGCAGGATTATAGAATTCTGTCACCTCTGCCACAGAACAGACGTTGCTTCCTTTGGTTTTTTTTAATCCTGAAAGCATAGTCTTAAGTGCTGTCAAGTATCTAATAAATAATGGGTGAGATGCATGCTGTTTCCTTCAGGAGCTCTATGGAAGGAAATGTATCTTTTACTCTTCTGGATTCTTGCTTGCACTGTGAGACCTGTGACTTAATGTAGGAAAGTTCTACTAGCTTTTTATGAGGAGTAGTGATTTGTCTTCCAACTGCCTGCTAGCTGAAGTGTTTTCCAGAGGAACTGCAATCCTTGTAGCTATAATGCCAGCTGTCACAAACATTTAATGGAGTGGTCTGAAATGGCCTTTTGGTTGTCTTATACAGTTCCTCTGAGTCTTATTGTGCCCTGATGTTTTAAGGCCTGTTCTGATTATTTTAAGTTGTTCTATTGCAGTTTTGCTCAAGCTGTGCACATTGTTGGAGTTTGGGAAAGACTAGAGCAAGTCAAACATTTGAGCTTTAAATAACTTCAAAGAGATTCTGGTTTTAATGCCAGCAATTTGCATATCATTAGCAGGGAAAGCATTGAAAACATTAGCTAGAGCAAGAATATGTGCTTGCAGGTGTAAAATTATTGTTGGTGTAGACTCAATATTAGTGATGCTCATGTGGAAGAATTAAAATTATTTAGGTATTGGCAGTTTGGAGAACTAGAAAACAAAGTGTTTAATTTTGTGTGTGCCTTGTATTTGCCAGCAAAATACTGAGACACCAAGAATAAGTGACTAAGGATGGCCTTTAAAAGGACTGAAAATTAATAGAAGTCTTGTCAGGGCATAGTAAATCAGAAATTTACTGATTCCACAGGGTTTGTTTTTTTTTTTTTTCAGTTCTGTATCTCTAGTGTTTTATGGAGCAAAATTTTACCTTTGTCTCGTAATTCTTTCAGATTTTGAAGTTTCTTCACAATGGTAGGTTGTATGCACCCAGAATCCAAAAGCTCTGAAGTTTTGTCAGCAGAGTATCCTGGATTTATGTCTGTTCCCATGTACTGTACCAAGTGCATGAACATGGTCCAAGATGAGCCATTGCTTCAATTCTTTCAGAGAGTTTGCAGTTAGAGGCAGTGTGTGTTCACTGCAGTGTTTTGCTTAGGTCTCTTTGCCTTGGTGATTTTGGACTGCATATTGGGCATGGCCAGTGGGCGGTCCCTAGGTTGGATTTGGGTGGTGTCTCAGTGGTTCTGTGGCTCACAGCACTTTCCTCATATGCTAGTTTCCATTTCCTTTGGCTGGTTAGGAATCCAGAGCTTTGAAGACCTGTTTAACCAGAGACTTCACTGCAGAGCTCTGATTTTGAGTGGCTGTATAAAGACTGTTCTGATGGAAAAAAAGGGGGCATGGATCCATGGCAGAACTGCTGTGCCGGTGGTGTCCTGAGACAGAAATGACAGATGAGTGAGGCAATTTTATTCAGAGGGACGAGGGGCTGGGGCCAGACTGTGCCAACCTGAGTGTGGAAGGTGGTGACAGCATTTCAGAAAGTGGTATGGGGATGTCTGTCCTTGGTTACTGAAGGAAGACAAGGGCTTGTCTTGGGATCAGGGTGCTTCCTGTTCACCTTTGCTCCAATGTTCATTAGGAATTAACGTGAGAAGACTTTGTCTCCACTGTTGAATACTTCCATGGTGCTGTGAGTGTAATCAGGGAGGCTGCTTGGGTCTAAAGATGCCAGTGCAGGTACAGCTGGCTTACCTCACTTATTCTGACTAGCTGCACTTGGATGTGTCAGAGTGGCTTGCTCGCTTGGTTGGGTTTTGCTAGCTTGTTTGTTTTTCCCTGCTGTGTCCTGTGACATCACCATGGCAATTAGATTATTGCCCAGATCTGGGCTGGTTGACTCATGGTGGAAGGTAGAGTGCCAGCCTAGAGGAAACTGCCTCTGAGCCGAGACAAGGAAAATTCTTCTGCGTTGTCCTTGGGTAGAAGAATAAAGAGATTCTAGAGCATCATGGCTTTGTATGGATCCTGGAAGATGCATTGAAATTAAGGCAATATTGTGGGGATATTTCTGTCTTCTGACTCATTGTATTGTGCATCTTTTTGACACCGCATGGAAAGGTGCACATCATATGGAAACAGATGTGATTGACAGACTGCCTCAGCAGCTGTCACCTAGAAATGATAGTTTCAATCCCATAATAATCCCAGAAACATCTGATTAGTCCCATTTTTTAGCTGGTGTTTTGTTAGGGCTTACCATATTTTTCTCCTCTCCTGCCCTATGCCATTGAAAGCAGTAGGCAGAGATGAATCACCAGGAAAATTGGGGTCTGTTTAGTTGGAAGTGTGACAAGCTGAAAGCTGTTATTCTGCATGATTATTTCACACAACATTTAACTAATCATATGATTGTTTCCTACCCATTTTTAAATATTTACTTCCACAAATAATGTTAAACAATGTGAAAATATAGTGTGTAAATACTAACAATGTACTAATAAAAATAACATCTTTCTTATGTCTTTTAAGAATAAAGCCTTGCAATTGTCCCTTGTGTAGCGGGAGTTTCAAATTTTATTTACAGAGTATTATCATGGGGAGATACCTATGTGAGGACCTCATTGCAGCAGCAACTTAAAAGTTATGACAATATTTTGCTTTGCAAAGGGCTAGATGAAAAGTTTCTGTAAGGGACAACATTGATATAGCAATGTCAAATCAGTTAATGTTTTATCACATTTACTTTTCCACCCCAGTGTGTAAATTGTCTACTATAATGAGTATAGAATAATTCTAACAGGTGAAATAATTGGTACTTTAGTCAGATGCTTCTTCCATATTTGTTGCATGGCATGATGATGTAGTCTGAGACACCTCCAAACTCCTCTCAGAATTTCCATTGAGTATTCTTGCATTGGTTTTGTTTGATAAGAATCCGATTTCCAATCCAAAGTCATAAAGAAAAGAGATTGCATCAGACCTGGTTTCTGAAAAGGGCAAGGCTCTTCTAGTGATCTCCTCTCTACATCTACTCCAGCTGGTTTTCCTAAGAGTAGGAGAAAGTATTAGAACCTCTACCACTTGTGGAATTTGTTATTTAGAAAGCCTATGGAGGCCTCTTCACAAGTGGAAAAAAATCCTCAAAACATTTCCTGTGCCTGGGTGCTGTGTGTTGGACTCCAAAATGTGGATAGACAGAAGACTTGAATTGGAAAAGAGCTTCTGCTGGACTCTGATCCACTGGTGCACACATGCCCCAATAGCCCATCCCTTAGTCCAGCACTGCCCACATCTCAGCAATATCTGCAGAAATTAATCACTTCAGCCAGAGTCTTCCTGAGAGATTCATTGTTACATGATTCTTTCTTCCTTGCTTTCTCTTGTTGTAACCTAGCGAGACTCCAGACTTCATCTGCAAACCTGGTGATGTTTTCTCAATCTGCCTTGAAATCTGGAACTGCCTTAGGGATTTTAGCTGGCATGTGGTTATAGCATCATTTTGGTTGGAAAAGACCTCAAAGATCATTGAGTCAAACCACTAACTGAGCACTGCCAAATCTGCCACTAAACCATGTCCCCAAGTGCCACATCTACATGTCTTTAAATACCTCCAGGGGTAGTGCCTTAAGCATTCCCCTCAGCAGCTTGTTCCAATGCTTTAGTGCAGTCCCTGGTACAAGCACTCGTCACTCTATCTTCAGCCTTGGACTGCCCCACTCCCAGCTGTGTTACTCCTTTTTCATACAAGGCATCTTTTTCAAGTGCTGCCTCCAGATTGATACAATAGCCCCGTGTACTGGCCACCTTTCTCTTCAGACACCTCTACTGCCAGAGAAGTTTATTTCACAACCACGTAGGTGATTGCTCACATTGATATTATATAGACCTTCTTCATCAACAGTAAGTTTCCTTCTTTTGCAAAGGCCTCCTTTAAGCCTCACAGTCTGCAGGATTTCCAAGAATCCTTTTGCACAGTGCCACCCAGAAGTCCTGCTGATGGCCTATGCACTACAGAAAAATCCTCTGGTCACTGTGGGATGTCTCTTTTTGAGTTGCATTGTCTCTGGATATGTTCTGGTAGCTTCCTTCTTTCCCTTTGATTTCCTGCCCAGAAGGCTCTGAAGTTAGTACTAGGTGTTGCACCTCTGCTTTCTGTACCTGCAGAAGCTGAAATTGTGTGACTGGGCAGATAACACTTGCAATACTCCTTGTCTCAGGTGCTTGAACTTACATGTGACATGGGGAATAACAGATGCCAATCCATAACTCTTCTTTTTCTTAATATTTCAAACTGACAATTTCTATTTCTAAGGAGATTGTGTTGTGGTACATTGAATATACACTGAATATTTTGATAGCACAAAGTTCTTGTTTGAATAGCTATTTTATTTAGTTGAAAGGTATGGAACTTCTCATAACATTGAAATTTCAAGTTGTTCAGTGCTAATATTTCTTGTCTTGGCACAAATATAATCATCTGCTATCTCATTGATTTCAAAAGACAGTGTTATCGCTAATCTAAAGTAACTTCAGTTATTCTTAATGTCACCCACAGGTAAAATGTTCCAGTCTCCAGATATCACTCTTATTGTAGAGTTCATATTTATGTTTTATAAGGAGAAACCTATTGATTGGCTCCTGGACCATATCCTCTGGGTAAAAGTGTGTAACCCTGAGAAAGATGCTGTAAGTTTGTTTTTATTATAAAGCTTCTAAAATGTTTTTTTGATGAATGAGTTGATTTTTGTGAGCTGAAAGCCAGCTTAGTGTACATTATGGTTACTGCATGCTCTGGAAGAGTACTTCTTCCTGCCAAGATTTTTCTCTCAAAAAGAAAGAGGGACAGTTCTCAGGGGCATCATTGCTGTTATTGCTTCAGATTTTGGAGATGGGCGTAGTAAGGATAAAAAGCAAAACTCTAGTTAGATTCTATGTGTAACAGACTTAAAATAAAATTATACATTTAACCACTGGAGAAGCTCTGCAGGGTGTCACTGCTTGAATAGCAGTCTTGGAGAAAGTTCCAAATGGGTAATAAACTTCATATTTTGGTCCTTCATTTCTCAAGAGACACCATTGCTAAACAGGTTCTGTGCAAGGACCTTGAACAGTATTACATTTGCACAGCAGTCGTGGTAGATTTCTGGAATGAAAACAAGAAGAGCTGGATAAATAGGGCTAGGTTCTTACCTTTTGTTGGTTTTTACTAATGTGTTGTTTTGTTTTTGTTTTTTATCCCACCCTTACCTTTTCCCCCCACCGTTTCAGAAACATTGTGATCGACAGAAATCTAACCTACGGATACGCTTCAGGCCTTCTCTTTTCCAGCATGTTGGCCTCCACTCTTCTCTAGCAGGGAAGATCCAGAAACTCACAGTTAGTAGACAATATTTACCTTTTACAGAGCAGGCTGATTAAGTGAAAAACATTGTGGAGAAAATAGGCCATTTCTTGTTGTCTTGCATTTTCAAGCATGATGCATATTGCTCCAGCTGGGATTAAATCTGTTACAGGCTGGTTACTATAAAGCAGAAGAAGTGCTAGTCCAGCTTATTTATGTGGATTTTTGCTAGGGGATATTTTTTCTAATTTTTCTACTTTAATGACATGTCCATATTACTGAGCAGTACAAGATCTGATGCACCCAAAATGAGTAATGCATTAATTTTCCATTTTATGCCAATGTTTGTTTTAAGTGTACCCACCTGGGAAAGGAACATAATAAATGAGGTTGTCTGACGAGCATGATGTTTGTCTGTCTTTCAATTAGGATAAAGACTTCCTGAAACCATTACTGCATAAAATCCACGTGAATCCACCCGCAGAGGTTTCGACATCTTTAAAAGTCTACCAGGGGCATACGCTAGAAAAAACCTACGTAGGGGAAGATTTTTTCTGGGCTGTCACACCAGTTGCTGGAGATTATATTCTCTTTAAATTTGACAAGCCAGTCAATGTAGAAAGGTTAGTAATTACTTGCTACTGGTCTCATATATAAAGTTGCTTGTGCCAAGAATGTTTTAAGGTAGAATTTGGGGCTATCATTATAACCTAGAGTGAAATGGCGTAGGACATTTGGACTTCAGCTGAAACAGTGATCCCTGTCTTCCCTCTGATTCTCTTACTATGGTAAATTTTGTCTTTTAAATTTTCTTTTTCATTTAATCTGGAACCTTTTTGAAAAATGCAATGCAAAGCCAGTGCTTCTCTGATGCAGAGAATTTAAAAGAAGCCAATTTAGTCCTATTTGTATTTGGTTAGTCTGTTTCTAATTACAGAGCAATTGTGCAGCATGGCATGTGGTACAGTGTGTTGTGCCCTGTGGCCTTGGTCCCTTGGTTGTCCAGATGAGAAATCTTGCTGGAGCATATAAGGTGAACTGTTAAGGATGTGCCCAGACCTGAAAGCTGGGGATTCTGAAGGACAGTATTTTTAAGATGTAGCTTTAGGGCTTGAAACAAGTCACTGTGCTAAGATTCCAGGCTGACCTGTTTAACAAATATAAAATGCAACAAAAAAGAAAGGGGTTGTGTGCTTTCAAAATAGAAATAGCTGAGATTTGATGGAGGACTACAGGTGACTTCTTATCAACTACTGGTCAGATTAATTAAGGGTAATCAAGGGTAATTAGCACTGTAGAGATTAGTCATCCTTTAGTTTTCTTGAGACTCATTTGCTGCTTTGTTGTCTACTGTCTCACCAACACAGTAATTCAAGATTTACAAAATACATGGTTTATTTAATGTCCAGTTAAGTGTTGCTATGTTAGTGGATTCCTTTTCTCCTTACTTCACATGCCTTATGTGGTTTTTCTTTTTTTTTTAGACAAATACCTATAGCCTGGTAGAACAAAGATTCTTTGAATCAGTTTGACTGGATGTTTTTCTTGTGAAGGAGACGGTTTTGCTGTCCTGAACTAAATCCAATTAGTCAACTTCTGTACCTTGGTACATAATCAAAGGCTGAGTCTTCACCTTGACGTAGAACAACAGTGAAGATAGTAGTTCCCTTGTGACTATGTTGTTCCAAACTAGTCTGACCTATGAAACTCAAGGTTGTTTGAGATGTCAGATTACTCTCCCAGTTGATTGCTATGCTTTGAAAGACTTCCCTGGTTAGCTTTCCAAGATGCATGTGTGGAGGAGCATAACTGCTATACCTCCTTGGATTAAAGGCAAAATATTTTTTTCTATGCCAACACTTGAAAAAATAAATTTCTTTATGCTGTTGCCTTAATGCTGAAGGGCACTAGGGGAATGAGAAAGTACTAATTATCTTTGTAAAAGGTGAGAAAAAAATATTAATTGTTGTGCCCTGGAAAATTGTAGCCAGGCCTAAGGTAGTTATGTCCACCTGGTGTGTTAAGAATAGCCTTTGCTGTAGAGGATTATGTTTTGTTTTTCTCAGGGGAAGAAGTGGGGTTTTTCAGGGTCTTGTTTGGTTAGGAATTTCTTTTGTTTGTGGGGATTTGTTTTGGGTTTTTTTGGGGGTTGGTAGTTTTTGGGGTTTTTTTGGTTAGTTTTCTTTGTTCTGGGGGCTTTTTGTGTTTGTGTGGTTTTTGTGGAGGTTTATTGATTTGTAGGATTTGTTTGGGGATTTTTGTGTTGGTTGGTTTGGTTTTTTATTTGGATATTTGATTTGGGGGTTGTTATTTTTGGTTTTTCCTTTTTTTTAATTTATTGAAGAAATGCATTTTAGTTTTAGAAGACAGGAAACAGGTTGCATTTTATTGCTTCCTCAAAGAAAGTCCACAAGTTTGAATGATGCTACCTATTCAGCTATCATTGTAAGCCATTTTAGCTTCTATGGCCACAGCATCCTCAAAAATAGAGTATTTTACCTTTCTGAAGTTAGTGACTAATTAAATTTGCAGATGTTGTAACTTCAAATTATTGGGGACTTGTTTCGATTTGTCTGTGTAACTTGAGCAGCAGCTGTAGAATTTGGCAAGTGCAGGTCTAGTAGAGCAGGGGAGTTTCCTGATATTTCAAGGATGCTTACTGAAGCAATCAAGAATAAAACTGTGACTGGCATATTGAAACACAGAAAAAGGAAAATGGACCAAGCATTGGATAGACTTACCTGGTGGGGAAATGCATCTGATGGTGGAATTCAGAGTAGAAAACACAGGTTTGGTAGCAATCTTGTGTCTGTGAAAAGATGCAGCAGGCTTTTTTTTTTTTTTTTTTCTCTTTTAAGTATTAGAAGAGCTCTTTGAATTTAAAGCAAATTATGTCTGCCAAGTCAGTTTGAGGTAACTGCTTAGTAACTGCTGTAATAAATTTGTGATGGAGAAGTTTTGTAATGGAAATACTGACCACAGCTCTGACTAAATAAATAGCACATCTATTGCACTGTGACAGAGCACTGACTTGTTCCTGTAGTTTACTTTTCCACCCCAAATGTTTCGCTGAACTGAAATTGAATTTTCTGCAGTTCACTAATTAGCTTTCATTAAGTCTTTAAATATTTAATTTTTGAGATCTGAGAATATTGTCAGGGATAACACTGTCAAGGATCTCTTAACTTAAACTGAGAACTGAGCTCACTTCACTGAGCAGAAAGTAGCATTTGTGCCTATTTTATGCAAGACCTGGCTGGCAAATTCCTGCTGAATATTGAGCAGTCAAATAGATGGTGCTTGTTCTAAACCACACCTGGAGAACAGGGACATGTAAATTGAAATATTCTAACGCTTACTTCAGTCACAGCTCTTGTACTGAAGTTTTCTAACTTCTTTCCAAGCAAAAGTTCTCCAACCAAAACATTAAAGTCCCTTAATAGTAATCTAGGGTCTCATCCTTTGCAGTAAGAAAATAGATACATTTCTTTCAGTAGAAAATCCTTGAGAAGAAAAGTAGATAGAAGGCAGTTCATCTTAAAAACAAAATGCTTAACTGTGTTGAAGATACATTTGGTTGTGATTGGTTGGATTTATTTTTTTTTAATAAAGGGATGGGCTGTTCTCTAAATGCTCAAAACAGCCTACATTGTAAAGATAAATAATATTGAATTTCTGTTCCCTCAGATTTTTACATATTTATTGAAATCCACTTTGCTGTTTTGATATGTACATCGCTGTACCAAGCACAGATATAATTATTAAAACTGACAGTTATATTTAAGAGTTTCTTTATGAGCCAGTCAAAACACATCTGAGCAAGACATTCCATTGCAGCACTTAGGTGATGCTGGTGTCCATCATCATCACAACCATTTCTTTTTTGACTAAGTTACAGAGTCCTCCCTATAGGTGTGATTGACACAAATCAGATGTTGTTTTCAAAGAACATATGCACTAATTACTTTGAGAAAACCCTTGAAAGTGCATAACTTATGGCTGTTCTGCAACAGGAATTTAGAATGGATATTTTTAGAAAGGGGTTCAGGTTTGCTTCCTTATAAATGCATTTTAAATGCTGACTTTTATTTTAAAAGAAAAAAGCTGCAGGAAAAGACAAGTATGTATTTTATACTGTGGGAAACAAAACCCACCAAAAACCAAAACTCACCCCAACCTTACTATATGTATTTATACATTTATAAAATTGCTTTATATTTTTAAAATATGAGGCTTCTTGTTTCTTGTATGTAACTGCTTCACAGAATCATCAAGGTTAGAAGAGACCTTCAAGGTCATCTAGTACAACCAACAACCCAACACCCCTATCCCTAAGTGCCACATACAGTTGCCTCTTGTAAACTTCTTGAAATGGTGACTCCATCACCTCCTTGGATATTATTCCATTATTCAGTGAAGAAAATATTTATAGTATCTAATCTGAACCTCCCCTGATGCAACTTAAGGCCATTTCTTCTTGTGCTCTTGCCCTCACCTGGCTCCAACCACAGGACTTGTGCTCTAGACTCTTCTGCTATACTGCTTCGTAGTGTTACTTGGAATATTTTCAAAAGGATTAGCTGTTTACTTTTTTTAGGGGAGGAGTAATGTGGTTTTGCTTGTAGTATTGGGGTTTTTTCCATCCTTTTCCCCTGTCACTGCTTTGAACTCTAGTTGCCTCACAGCTGGTTGGCCTCTCCTTTTTAGCAAGTTACTGAGTGGTCATCCTCATGTGACATTGACTATTAATGAAGTGATTTTATAAGGTACAACTTGCTGACTGGAATTTCAGTTTTAAAGTGGAATCTTTATAACTTGACAAACCACCTTGTAGATTGCATTTACCAGCTCGTGCTCTGATATTGGCATAGATACTGGATGTGCAGTATTTGAGACTGTTCATCTAATTTTCTGTATTCTGGGCATTGGAATCACAGGGAACACATGATGTTAACCTCACACATATTTCCTGTGGCATCTTCTCACAACA